GCAGGAATCATGGACTATTCCAAAACATTCCAAAACAACTTTCTAGAGTGAAAATCATCATGATTAGAAACTTGCAACAGAAACCATATACAAAATGCACTTAAAATATTAACGCAGAGGAGATATATTTCTAAGTGTTATCCCTTATTTTGCATCTGAGTATTATTTTGTATGCTTTATTTATTGTAAATTTAAACGCTATTCTTCTGGAATTTTGTGGATTTCAAAAGCCCCAAACCGTATTTAAACTATACAGAAACACAAAGATAATAATCATACAGAATGTCATTAAAATGGTTCTTCTGGATGTTGAAACAGAAGTTCAGTTGTCCATTACATGTGGATTTCAAAACAATACAAGACACTTTAATATCAACATTCATTCACAGACATTAAGGCAACTGGTTCATGAAATCGCTGCTTTTATCGACATGAAATAACATGGTTTGTGTTATGTACAACAGATTACAACTGTCAAAATGGTAATGTCTCAAAGGGGTTATGCATTGTCTTAATTGGTGGTTAGAAGATTGTTTGGTCTAATGCTAGCGAAAAAAAAAAATCTTATTTTTTTTTTTTATCCATTCCTATCATACCTGCACAATAAAATACAACCTGAATACTTCCCTGCAGACTGTATTTGGAGCATGGAGACCATAAATACAGTTAAAAATACTGCTCAGAGAACAACTTTTTGGCAGTTTATGATTTCATTACTCTGTATTCAAATACAAAATTAAAGAATCTTAGATCGAATGCAAAACTTAATGGACTAACCAGAATCCATACGTCCTTTTAAACAATCTAGATTTTTTTTTCTCTAAGTTGTCAGAACTTATCTTTTGTCCTGGCACAGAAATATACAGTACTAGGGAAATGTCAATAGAGAAAAAGAACAAAAAGGTGTTGCTGTACAGACTCACAAATGTCATGATACTGCTTTGAATTCCCTCACTATCACACATGGCAAGTACTCAGTGCAGAGCTGCGCTGCAAGCAGACAAGTCTCCTCTCAGTCATCCTGCACCTGTGATAATCTATTCCAAGCCTACGTAGGCTGGCCTACCCTTTTCTGGATGAATTTATTAAGCTGCTTAGTAAATGTTTTAGTCAAGGACTACAATCCAGGTCAGTTTCTCGTAACTCCTACTGGCCATACCAGGAAAAAGGCAAATAGTATCGACCATTCTGTATTTGACAGTAGGCTATTAAAGCACCAACTATTCAGTTTAACTGTGATGCCTGCCAAATATGGCTATAATTTGTATGACTGAATATTTCTACTGGTGCAAAAATGGTTAGAAGATGACATTGGAAAGGAAAAAAGGATCATGCTTTTTTGCCTCAAAGTACCTGAAAGGGTTAAAAAAGCATACATTTTACATTAGAAATGCAGGCTTCGTCTAATCCGAATGAATGGAACATGAGTGTGCTTAAAACACCACAAAAGGGTGACAGTCAAGTAGACCGAGAAAGGGGTATTTTTAGAATGTTAAAAACAATATCAAAGTCTAGCTTAACAGTTATTTGACTCCATTACCTAAGGAATATGTAAGAGTAAAATTCTGTGTGAATAACACCTCCAGCCCTTTCAGCAAGAGGATATTGTTCCCAATAGGTATATGGGATCCTCAGTAAGTTTTCTTGGTTTCAATGGGAAAAAAGTTGACATTCCTTACATTTTCACAGGAAAAAGGAAAAAAAAAAAAAAAAAAAGAGGAAAAAAATCTACTCTGAAAACTGATCATTGCTTTTTTATGACATATACTCACATATATCATAAAAGAACAAAAAAGGGATGTGAATGTAATACTTTTTAAATTTTAAATCCCTTGCAGGTCACCTTTATCAGAGCTATCTGCCATATCAGATACCCCAGGTTTAATACATGAGGATGGATAATAGGATCTGCTTTTCATTTATTGCCCAAGTTTGCAGCTTATAGCAAAATGTTTTCATGGCACAGGCACAGCGGCAAAGAACAGTATAACAGCCGATGGTCAACTCCATTTGGTGAGTATACAGTAGCAGCAAGGAAAAAAAAAATACTCTGAACAGCTCAATACAGATCCAGCTTACCCAAATGGGTTTTTGTAAGATAACAATTTTAGATTAATAAATAGATCTTTGCCTTCCCTCCCGAGATAAAGGGTTTCTCATTGTGGTGATCAAAAGAGAGAGGCATGGCAGTTGTGCGTAAGCAGAGACAGTAGAACTTGGTCTGTCTAGAATAAAAGGTGCTTCAGATCTAATTTGCCACCATATTTTCCCCCAACCCCATTGATTCCCAACACATAACAACTGCAGATATGTTCAAACGGTGCCCAAATTGAGTAAAACCATGCCAACAAACATGTAACCAAAGTTACCCCCCTCATACAAGCTCCTAGACCTTCCAAGCATGACAAAATGTAATACAACTCAACTTCAACATGGAGACAGGAACCCAGCATCTTGGTTTCAGCTTTTTTCCTTTGTTACCATATATTACAGTGCTCTATAATTTTTTTTCCTTTTTCCTTTTAAAGCATTTTAGACAATACAAGACTAAAAGATGTCTGGAAATACGCCTTATACAAAAATGATTTTTTTTTTAATCTTAAAATAACATTCAAAAAGGCACTTCATTCTGTAAGAAAAGAATTCAGAGTCAGGTCAACTGCTCTAAGCAGGGGGTAAAACTGTCTGCATAGTGGGAGGGGGAAGGGAGAGAAATTCGACTGCTGAAATACAAGCTTCTTTTTGGCATGTTTTAAGAAAAGCTGATCCAGTAAAATGTGTCCATTTATGAAATTCATTAAAAGAGTCCCATTTAAAATAGCTTCTTTTTTTTTCTTTTTTTTTTCCCTAAAAAAAAGTAGTCTGAACACATGACCTTAGGAGTCAGGTTTCTGAAGGCTTAATAGCATCACTCATGATTGTCCTTCGTGTACAATGTAACAGGAAGATCAAGAGTAGCACTTCTGACAGGAGGGGCCTCCCCAGAGCTTACATTTGAAAGAGCTGTGAAAGATGGCTACGGCCTGTAGCAACTGCAACCTAGCAGCAGCAGTCAGAGTTAAGGGCTACCTGTTGCAAAGTTTGTGAAGCATACTGTAAACTTCTTCTTCTTTGCTTAGTCCTTCAAAGAAAGGAATAAGATCTAGCAGTTCTGTGTCTGTCATGTCATCAAACCAGGACTGCACAGGCACCTGAAATAACAAGCACAGCATGGGAGAGATTTCATTACATCAAGAATGCGTACACTGTCCACCTACTTCAAGATCCTACCATGCAACTCCTGTTAGTAGGTACCTGACTGCAGATAGCAGCTGCGGTAAGGAAGAAGTTGCTCGTAACTTGAATTCAAGTAGGTTGCCAGTTCAGACCCACATTGCTTCTAACGCACGCTCCATGCAAGCCTGGAACCCTACGGATAGCTAATGGTTATCACTATGTGGATGATCTTTCCACATAAGGAGCATCCCAGGTAAAGTTGTGAGAGGCCTAATGCTACATAACCTCAATTCCTTGGGTCTCCTTGACATCTAAAACAGATTAAAGAGGTAGGGAAGGAAGGTATAGACCATGAACCTGCATAGATACACCACTTGGAAAACGCCAGCTACAGGTGAGTAGCTTTTCTTTTGCCTTAAAGTATTGTCAGTGAAGATTCCCATGTATGAGCAAGCAGCAACAAACCCCTACAAATAAGGACTAGACATCAGAGAATAGGGGCTACATTAATGCTTCTTAAATGCGTCAGTTCCATGTGCTTTTACAATAGGAATAAACTGAGGCCATGCCATAGAAGTTGCACTGGATTTGTGCGTTGGTGTTTGATTAGACTAGTGTAAACAGTCCCTGCTATTTCTGCCCACAGCATTTTTCTAGTCAGGATTTAATTCATTTGAAAAGGCACCCAGGTTCCTTTGCTACAGTGGCTCTCACTCTTTTCAAGTCAGGGTACCCCTCCACCATTTTTGAATGTGACAGCATCCCCGGTTGAGAACCACAGTTGGTCCTGCCTCAACTTACCTTAGTACTCAACTGAAAGATGCTGCTTCCAGGTAAAACTGCCTAATGCATCTGCCACACAACCAGCCAAGGAAGGGCCATGGCATGTGTGC